GGGGGGGGGAGCAACTGGAAATGCATTGCGAAAGGGACGGCGCTCCCGCTGGGGCTTGGACAGCGAATTCGTGTTGATTTGGGACTGGTTTGTCTTGTAGATATCCCCTTCCGTTGTGTTTGTTGGTATTTGGGGGGAGAGGGACCCTTTTTGGTTCGATAATGGCTAATCCAAATGTGTTTTTGCGGCTGTGGCGGTGGCCTATTAACTACTGGCTGGTATTTTGGGGGCGTTCTAAATGTTCTCATCGATTTCTAGAAGCACCAGAAGGATTCTCGAAGCAGTGGAAGATCAGGCCGGTCATCCAAGGCCGGTTATCCAGGGCCGGCCCAGGCGGCGATCAGTTACGGGAAGATGCAGGCCGGTCAAAAGGCCTCTCTCCCTCTCAAGACGCATTGTACCAGATGCAGGGAGGTATCGTGACGGGTGCTCAACTCTCTCCTCGCCTCTTGTCTATACCTGTCCTGTGCGCCGTCTGGACCCTGATGATCTTCATTGCAAGGAGCGAGGAGCAGTCTCCAGCAGTCTCCTAAGTGATCCGGTGGCTGCACGAACATGGCTTTCCGGGGCCAATCAGTGCATGGTTCGGCTCGCCCTTGACCGCCTAGTTGATGCAGCAGCTGTAGCTATGACATCGCTTACCTGGCCTCTGAGCTTTGTGACTGGTTGGGAGACCGAGGGCTTGGATTCAATCGAGGTTGAGGCCGAGAGGGGTTTCCAGCTAGAAATGTTGCGGGCGGGTAGCTTGCGAACTCAGTGGGCGAAGGAAGAGGAGAGGAGCTGCCGCTGGTGGCCGACATGTCGTGGTGGGTTATTCTTGCCGTCTTTTCTTCTTCTTGCACTCGGTATCGAGCTACATTCCATGCTGGAGGAGTAGCTGAGCAACAGCAGCTCTTGTTTCGATCGAGGAACGTCTTAGAGACGACTGGTTATTGACTGCGCTGCGCTGCGCTGCTCTGCCTGCAACTGCGCAGCTCGCAAAATAGACTTCACCAGCCTATTTCCATCCCCCCTTCGTCTCTCCTCCGTTGCCCTCTTTTCCTCCTTTATATCCCTCCCCCGGCTTCGTCCTTCGTCTGCCCACTTGATCGTGTGCTATCCAATCTCTGCTCTCTGCTCTCTGAACCACGGTGGTCCTCGGCTACCCCTCCACTGCGTCATCTTCGACTCAGAGTTGCTGGTTGCCCCACTTGCTCTCATTTCGTCACAAACTCGAACGAACCTACCACTCCCAGGCACTCCCCTCTCGTGGTCTGGTTCGCTCCACCACCGAAGCAGCGCAACTCGCCGTTGTCAGTGGACACTGGACTATCAGACGCCCGCCTCGCTGCCTGAGATAGGAACCACACCCTGGTCCATTTCGCCCCTGTCCCCCCTGCTTGTCGCAAAACCACACAATCCCGCAAGCCGTTCAAGTCTCTAGCTCACAGTTTCACGGACCACATTGGTGACAGGCCACCCTACCCGGAAGAGGGTCCTTCCCTATCCTTCTAAGCACCAAACCGCCTCCAGTTGAGTCAGTCCACAAGCAAAATATCCTAACCCCCGAGCTTAAGCCAACGACAGCAGG